CATTGAAAAGAACAAGTGACATAACCGTGTATAATCATCCATTGAAAAGAACAAGTGACAGAACCGTGTATAATCATCCATTGAAAAGAACAAGTGACAGAACCCTGTATAATCACCCATTGAAAGGACAAGTGACATAACCGTGTATAATCATCCACTGAAAAGAACAAGTGACAGAACCTTGTATAATCACCCATTGAAAAGAACAAGTGACAGAACCCTGTATAATCACCCATTGAAAGGACAAGTGACATAACCGTGTATAATCATCCACTGAAAAGAACAAGTGACAGAACCGTGTATAATCACCCATTGAAAAGAACAAGTGACAGAACCGTGTATAATCATCCATTGAAAAGAACAAGTGACAAAACCTTGTATAATCACCCACTTAAAAGAACAAGTGACAGAACCGTGTATAATCATCCATTGAAAAGAACAAGTGACAGAACCCTGTATAATCACCCACTGAAAGAACAAATGACAGAACCCTGTATAATCACCCACTGAAAGGACAAGTGACATAACCGTGTATAATTTTCCACTGACAGAACAAGTGACAGAACCCTGTATAATCACCCACTGAAAGGACAAGTGACAAAACCTTGTATAATCACCCATTGAAAACAACAAGTGACAGAACCCTGTATAATCACCCACTGAAAGGACAAGTGACATAACCGTGTATAATCATCCATTGAAAAGAACAAGTGACAAAACCTTGTATAATCACCCACTTAAAAGAACAAGCGACATAACCGTGTATAATCATCCACTGAAAGAACAAGTGACAGAACCCTGTATAATCACCCACTGAAAGGACAAGTGACATAACCGTGTATAATTTTCCACTGAAAGAACAAGTGACAGAACCCTGTATAATCACCCATTGAAAGGACAAGTGACAAAACCTTGTATAATCACCCATTGAAAACAACAAGTGACAGAACCCTGTATAATCATCCATTGAAAACAACAAGTGACAGAACCCTGTATAATCATCCATTGAAAAGAACAAGCGACAGAACCGTGTATAATCATCCATTGAAAAGAACAAGTGACAGAAATGTGTCTAATCATCCAATGAAATGAACAAGTGAGAAAACCGTGTCTAATCATTCATTGAAAAGAACAAGCGACAGAACCGTGTATAATCATCCATTGAAAAGAACAAGTGACAGAACCTTGTATAATCATCCATTGAAAAGAACAAGCGACATAACCGTGTATAATCATCCACTTAAAAGAACAAGCGACAGAACCGTGTATAATCATCCATTGCAAAGGACAAGTGACAGAACCGTGTATAATCATCCACTTAAAAGAACAAGCGACATAACCGTGTATAATCGCTTACTGAAAAGAACAAGCGACATAACCGTGTATAATCATCCACTTAAAAGAACAAACGACAGAAATGTGTATAATCATCCATTGAAAAGAACAAGTGACAGAAATGTGTCTAATCATCCAATGAAATGAACAAGTGAGAGAACCGTGTCTAATCATTCATTGAAAAGAACAAACGACAGAACCGTGTCTAATCATCCATTGAAAAGAACATGTGACAGAACCGTGTATAATCATCCATTGAAAAGGGCAAATGACAAAGCTGTAAGTGTTTAATGATGAAAATCGTCTTGTCTTTCTGAGGAAAAAACAACAACAATCAATTGATTGATATGTGAAGAAATTAAAATCGTGAACGTCTAATAATAAAAATCTGATATATAACGATTTAGTGATAGTCTGATGTTTAACAGTATTTGAAAATTAAAATTCCAGTGCTTGAAAAATTTTCCGATACTGAAAAGTTAAAATTCAAGTTTTTAAAAAGATGTTAATTATACTTGAAAGTTAGAATCTTTGTGTTTATCAAATGATAAGCGATAATGAAAAGTTCGAATTCCAGAATTTTACATTCGAATGGCAGTGCTTGAAAAGTGGTAAATAATATAGGCAGTCTATATAAAATCTTATTGGTTACAAAAGTATTAAAGATAAGTGGTAAATGATATTGGCAGTCTATATAAAATCTTATTGGTTACAAAAGTATTAAAGATAAGTGGTAAATAATATTGGCCGTCTATATAAAATCTTATTGGTTACAAAAGTATTAAAGATAAGTGGTAAATGATATTTTTGACCATGGTTATTAATACGATGTCCTACACCTAATAAATGTTCTTGAACTGTGGAAATTATATTGTTTGACAAGGGTTAATGATTTTAAATGCAGCTGTTTGATAACAGTTAATGGTATTAGATGTTTTTAAATCCAGTGCTCGACAGGCAATAAGCCTACGTGATTTGATTTCATTGATTTGAAAAGTAGTAAATGATCTTTGCATTGCTAGAGCACCTGTACTTAACAAAACAAATTATATTCGATAACTTATTTTGATTTCTAACAACTAATGAATCATATCATGGTGTTAGAATCATATATCGTTAAGTGACTAAACTTAATTTCTTCTCAGAGCTATCGTGTGGTGTTACAGATAAGGTACTTAGATTTCTTAAGATGAGTGTTAAATTTTTACAAGGCTTCGTTTCAAAAGATGATGGCCGATTATCGATATGGACTCCAGACGATCAGAAACACATCACTTAAACAGTTTTATCATTGTGTTTCATAATAAATATGAAAAAAAAACATACTTACATTTGACAACATAGCCTACCCTTCATCTTTCTGTATTATTCGAACAACACTATAAAAATTGAAGTAAACTTTGGGATTATTTTTTAATCCTTAATTGTCACTTGTCAGCTGCGATTTAAAGAATGAGCAAAATGAGGAATAACTGTAAAAAAAACCACAATAGTAGCTGACGATTAAATTATGTAGATTTATATGATGTCTCTAAGTAGCTGTAATATGTTATCAAATCATAAAATCCATAACCTTTGACCTTAGGAGTAATAATTATGTATACTATCTCTTTGGTGATTTAGTCGCATGTTGTTATACTGTTTATTCCAAAAGTTACCTAGAAAAGTAACAATTAAACAGACGCTTAATAAGAAACATTGTTGTTATACTGTTTATTCCAAAAGTTACCTAGAAAAGTAACAATTAAACAGACGCTTAGTAAGAAACATTGTTTTTATACTGTTTATTCCAAAAGTTACCTAGAAAAATAACAATTAAACAGATGCTTAGTAAGAAACATTCTGAATTATTTTGTGCTTTGTCAGAGCGGGATTACGACCGAAAATAGCATTAACGACGATGGTACGGAACTGATGTGTCCTAATCTTTTTAAGTTTATGTTTTTGGGGGATTTTTAACTCTGTTCTGTGTAAGTAGCTTGCTTTGATCAGAAGTTGTTGATAATTTAAACATTTTAATTAGTTTCCTACCAACAGCTGACTTTTGTAGTCCGGGAAGTGAAACACTAAATAAACTCTCAGTAGCTTTAGTTTTTCGGACTATATGAAACCAATATATTAGAATGCCATAAGCATCTTACCTTTTTTTAATCCTGAAATAATAAATCACGGGACAAGTTACGAACACCTTCTAAAGCTTTTAGCTAATCCTAAAGTTACAAGCCATGTGAGATGTTCTAAACATCCCATGTTCTCATTCATCTTGAAACTACAGACTATATAGCATGTTACAAACATCTTAACTTTGGTATAATCATGGAACTATAATCCAGGGACTTGTCACAAACATCTTATCTTTGTTCAATAAGCGTTATTCTGAAAAGTTATTTTTAAAGCCATAGATGATTCGTTGTATATACAGCTTGTATCTCGGCCATGAATTAATTATGATAATTGAAATATATGTGATATAAAATTATATAACCTTGTAAAAATACACATTTTTTCATAATATTAAGTTTCATTGTTTATGTTTCTACGAAACATTAGACCTAAAATAAACGTAACCTCATATGAAGGTATTGATGTTATAATTTTTGTTTGAAATAATATAACTCCTATTAAAGACATTCATGTCTGTTAGGTTAAAAAATTGTTAATGTCGTGTAATTCTCGGTTAAAAACACTACTCTTTACTTTATGAGAATAATTTTAATTTCGTGTAAACTGCGGTTCACTGGATTGAAAGTAATCCTAGACCTAGGTAAAATATCTGATAAATAGAGGGAGTCCTTTATAATACTGGCGAAGTTCAACACAGGTACAATGAACCATAACAGGGTGACGTCTTCGTAATAGCACTTCTGTAACATATCTTCTGTGAATCACTATTTTAGGCCTAGGTAAAATATCTGATAAATAGAGGGAGTCCTTTATAATCCTGGCGAAGTTCAACACAGGTACAATGAACCATAACAGGGTGACGTCTATCGTAATAGCACTTCTGTAACATATCTTCTGTGAATCACTATTTTAGGCCTAGGTAAAATAGTTGATAAATAGAGAGACCTTTATAATACTGGCGAAGTTCAACACAGGTACAATAAACCATAACAGGGTGGCATATATCGTAATAGCAGTTTTGTAACATATCTTCTGTGAATTACTATTTTAGACCAAACCAAGTTCCCAGTGTGTTCAAGTTGCTTCATATTTTCTTTGCTTCATGTATATTTTGAAATTTAGCAACAGCTAAAAGTGGGTTAGTATTTTTATCTACTGTTTAAATATCAAAAATGTTCTATCATAAATTATAATACTGTAAAAAAAAAGTTGCAAACACGCCGTTTCGAAAGTTTATACTGCCATCTGTTGGTGCCAAGAGACGTTACTTTCATTGTATTGGTAAATTTATATGATGTTTTAAGTATGTGATAGTAGTTTCTTCATGAACGTATTATCTATAGTTCATGTTATTAGATACTTAACTTGTGCTGTTGTATGTATCGTTTATATGTATATTTATAATGTTGTTATAATTCTAATAGTAGTGTTCATTTTACATGTACATATATGTTCAAATTTGTAAGTATTTAAAGTAGGTGATTGTTAACTGAATTTGTCTGTATGTGTCATTTGCCTCTATGATATAAAAGTATTCACAACCTAAATAGTCTTTTTCTTTATAATTTTATAGATGCTAGCTAAAATGAAATTTAAATATTTTTTCCCCTTTTCCCCGAGATTTATCGCAGAATTACAATTTTATTCGTATGGAATGAGTAACATGCTACTGCTTGAAATTGCATTGCTAAAGCAATACTTACCGGTTTCTGTTCAAATACACAAAAATACTTAAAGCAAATGCTTACTCATAAATAACATCAGTAGAAATAATAAAAAAAAACTTAGCCAATACTAGTTTAATCATCCTATTTCCCGTGTTTTGAAGTAAATGAAATGGTGCTGCCTTCTTCCCTAACGCGGCCGGCATGGCCAGGTGGTTAAGGTGCTCGACTCGCATTCTATGGGTCGCGGATTCGAATCCCCGTCCAACCAAACATTCTTGCCCCTTTTAGCCGTGGGGGCGTTAAAATGTAACGGTCAATCCCACTATTCCCAAGATTTGGCGGTGGGTGGTGAGGACTAGCTGCCTTCCCTCTAGTCTTACACTGATAAATTAGGGACAGCTAGCGCAGATAGCCCTCGTGTAGCTTTGCGCGAAATTCAGAAACAAACAAAACATACAAATACCTCCGATGAGTAAAAAAAAAAGAAAATTCTTAGTTGAAAATCCAATATGAAAAATAAACAATCACATAATTTAGGATTGACGTTTCGTCAATATCTAGACTTTGTGGTCATAGAGCAACATTAATGACTTTTTTAAGTAGAAAAACACTAGCTAGCGTTACCTAATTTTTGCAATACATAAAATCCAGTAGTTAGGAAAATATATATATTCTATCAGAAAATCAGTGGATTTGGCCGTCATGCTTCTTGACACTTTACAATTCATTCCATTTTTTTTTTCTATTTAATCAATATAGCGAGCAACAACTAAAATATACTCTTGACATTAGTTAGAAGTCTCTTACTTTTTTATGAGCTAGTTCTGTAACAATTATCAATGTAGTAGAATATTAAGTGGGAAAGGGGGTATGAGACCATCTAGAAGTTTGTGTTGCCGAAATATGAATCTGCGGTTCTATTTTTGAGTATAACCCCCCTTCCCCTCCAAAAAAAAAAAAGGGTTTGTTTGAAATTAGGCACAAAGCTACACAATGGGCTATCTGTGCCCTGCCCACCACGGGTATCG